GATACTTAAAAAGCTCAACACTTTTATTATTCATAGAATGACAAGTATAATGTAGTATACCAGCCCCTGACTTTGTTATGTCATCTGGTGAGAAGAGGTTTAATGATTCAAGCTTGTGGACTAATGCTAACTCTCCACTTTGACAAGCTAACAATGATAAAGAAGCACTTTCACAATTAATGTGAGAAGTATTACAATTTCTCTCAATAAAGAATTCTACTAGGTCAGAATGGCCCCCCATTGCTGAGTACAGTAATGCAGTGTTATTGCTATTGTCTGGTTGATCAGGAGGAACGTCACACGTGTCTACTAGATATTGTACTATAGATAAGTGGCCTTTATAAGATGCCATATGTATACTAGATACACTATTATCATCACCTTCATTAGGATCAATACCATATTGATGGATGAGTAGTTGAAGGATCTCAATGTGTCCACCATATGATGCAGAGTGTAATGGAGTCCAGCCATGAAGACCACGATGATATGTACTGGAGCCAAACTTGTCAAGAAGCCATTGTACTTCATCTTTTAATCCTCTCCAAGCTGCTTCATGTAATGGTGTACTGGTATTCTCATACCATAATGGATCACATATATCTATAAATGAAGAATATTATTAGTAATACAAGTTATGTATGGAGGGATTGACTAAAGGTCAGTTCATGTACTTACCAATATCAGTGGATGAGTGCTTAACCTCTTCTATTGAGAACTGTAAAATTAATTAATAATAACAATAATAATAAATTTGTATTTACACAATTATAATCACAAACCTCTCCTAGATCATATTTATCTTCACCACATGTTAGTTCAGTGATACCAATACTAGCTAACTGTTCCTGTAGCTTTGTAGAGAGAGGAAATAATAAAGAATAAAGATACTCAGGAATGAGGTAACCCAAACAGAGAGAACTCAGGTGGACGGATCTGAAGTGAAGATCATATTCAGGAATGTCCAAACCTTTTGGTATTGCTCTACGAAAGAAGAAAAGGTCATCCAGTGTGTAGTCATCTCTGTCAACTTTAGCAATCATTACTCGT